AGAGGCCTGGATTTTGCTGCTAAAAAGAGCAACGCCGGTCCCCCTGAGAATGTCGAATAAGGTGCTTCTTATCTGACTTTCCATCACTGCCGTTTCCATGGTTTCACACTTTTAGTGTCAAGTCCTTCAAGTCCTGATCCTTGTGATGACAAAGTTCCTCTCATCTGTATTTCTCCCTTAAGTGTCTAACCTAATCTTATTATCTCGCTATCAGTTATAAAATCATTTTAAATGGGGACCTTTACATTTAAACTCATAGTTATATTAATGCTCATCATTCATTAACTTATCAGACAGCCTAGACTTTGCTCAGCAATTATCTGTGCCTACACATCAGCAGGGTAATATATTTGATATTTGCTAATATTATAAGGGTTACATATTGAAAATGTTACTGTGTTTGACTCAGATACAAAATTTTAAATGTATAATGTATAATGTGTGTATCTGCTGGGTGATTGACCAGATATATTCTAACCGCGATGAATTCATTCACATTAGTTTCTTGTGTTGTAATTCATTGTCATTAGGCAGTCACAGCCGAGTGCTTAAGCCAGATGACAACCCAGAGTGATTTATCTAATCAATACTAGTAACCTCCCTGCCTGCTGCCATCACCTGACTCAAAATAATGATAATGCCGTCCACAGCTGACTTGAATCCATTTATTGACAACACAGGATCGATACTATTTAGGAAGTACTTGGCAATACATCTGAACTGTCAACTGTAATTGTCAGAACAGGGATGTTAATTTTCTTCTCGAGTCAGTGCCTGATTTCCAAAGAACTGGCGCCAACAAAGACTGATGTATGTGTCACTTCATGTCACCACACATCTTCTGTTATAAGTTGCACTTGAGCCCACAGCCAGCGGAGCGCGGCGCCATGCCATGGCGGTATTCTTAATAGTCTGAAAAATGTCCCATTGGATCGAACACCCATTTGTCCAACAGCCTCTTATTGTGAAAATAAAAGCCCATTGCTCTGAAGGCTTGAACAACACCCCCTGATGGCGACATACATTGTATTGTGCACTTCCTGTCCCTGACACCAAACTCATTATAGAACACAGACTTGTAAACCATATTCACACTGATTATTCAGTCAATTCAGAGAATATTCTTGATAAACAACTGCAGTACAGTACAGTACTGTAAATATTACCCTTGCTTTGCCTGTGGTCAGAGACCTGTCAGACTGCTCTCTCATCAACTGCCTTAAACAGCGCAAAAAAATGTGCCAATGGCAGCCCGGTTGTGTCACAGCCTTAACAGATGCTTGGAAATGATCATTGTCATGCAAACTACTATTGATGAACATGAAAGTGGAGTCAATCCCTTAGCAGTGTCATCTATAGAGCATAGAAGCAGCACTGGGCAACCTAGTCATGTGCAAACAGACATTTGAACGTTATTATACAAGATGACCAAATATTTATAGAAAAATGAGTTGGCCTCTTAGATAACAAATGTTTATTATTTATTTTTAGGATAACCATCTCAGACAATATCATGGTATAATGTATTACACAAGTAATATTATAGTAGGGTGTTTTTCTTTGATTGAACAATTATAATTTCACTAAATATTCTGTCCACTAAAACAGTACAATTCAATATTGTTTTTAAATAACACTAATAGACGTAGAATTCAATACCGCCCAAAACAAATGTGCAGTGCATAGTATGATAACATCAATTTTCATACCATGCTATTGATTGATATACTGCTGCGACCCTAATTCAAGGATATATATATATATATATATAATTCTATCTATATATATATATATGCCTGCGAGCTAGTTCAGGCAGTTAA